AGATAAGCGATACTACGTTCTTGTACAAAAGCCTTTACCTGCAATAAAAACACATTAGTTGGAAGTAAACTTCTCGATGAAATTATCTCAAAAACTTAAATGAACAAAATCTATTAATGTAATATTCAAGAAGGCCGTAATCAGATAATAACAGTTCGTATGTTTAGCGAATACTTATTATTCTTTCTGAAAGTAAATATATTTTTGACGCATGTATTCTTCCTTTTTTTTAAATTGTGGCTCACAGATATAAATTTCATCGATAACGCCGGCCAACTTCAAAAAATCCCATAGTGTTAATACTTCTTATCTTGTGAGCAATCACTTGTGAAAGTCGTAATCACATTTCACTGTTTTATAGTTTGCAATAGCGATTTATGTAAAACCAGTTTGTAAAAGTAATCTTCATTCTAACTTGTTAACTTGAATTTTAATAAAGATTGTGTGTGACTGCCTGCCGTATAACCAAATGAAGGATAAGATCAGTTTTATAAAATTAACTACATCCTAAATATTAACCTACATTTTATGAAGGTATGAACTCTTATGCACTAAGAAACCTGATTCAATCTAAACTTGACTCACTTTATTTAAAGATCTTTATTTGCAATTTCCAAGTTAAACAAGTGTCCTACACAGTCTATTACGACTTCCTAAAATCTAAATGTATGATGTATGTATAACCTACATGTAATCTAAAAGAAATTCATAATGATGACAAGAAATTTATATCGGACAGATATCTAGGAAATTGATTTATAGGCTATAAAAACCCCTAATTAAGTGACTTATCTCAGTATGCAAAAAAATACGTGGGTGCATTGTTATTAAATACAGCTGTTTAATACAATGTACTGATTATTAGAAATGTGTTATTTCTATGGTTAATTTTATCTTGAATAATAAACTGCTGCTGAAATGTTTGTTTATTTCGATCTTAAAAAATCGAACTAATAGTTGTGAAAACGCCGGTGATTAAATTGAAATATTTCCGAAGTTTAGCACGGTAATTTCGTCCAAACCTCCCTTGCAGAAATATTTGAAATCAAAATTAACAAATATAAATAACCAACCAATATGGTTGGTTGTATGAATGTGGGTTATCCTATATTAAATGTATTCAAATTGAACTATTTTTAGAAATTTATGGCCATATTTAGCTATAGGGTCTGCTTAGGATAATACTAGAGTTTTTGTTTGGTCATCATAGCTTCAGCTTATCAGAGAATGTATTGGTTGATGAAAATATACAAATAGGTAATTGCACGAATATTTTTATTATGCTGATCAAAAGAGTTGACCAATTAATATTTAAACATAATAACCGCCTAAAATAGTGGATGTCGATTTTTGGTACTGACGATGTATGGGTTGAAAATGGATACAGGGGTACGAGTTCAGCCGTTTAGCACATAATTATTTTGTGATTTTATTTATGTTCTGTATTTTAAGTATTCATTTGAAAGAGCTCGTGTGAGACTTCCAAGTGAAACGTTTGAGATGTTTGATTTCAATTACTGAGAGATCTGCAATTAGGATTCTTACTTTAGTTGTTTTTCTATAAACATCCTTCAACTATTGTGAAAGTATAATTTAAAAATTGTAAGGGAGTTTCTTTAGTATAGTTTTATGAAATCTTTTGATTTACAGTTCAAACCAATAATCATTCAGCGGCTGAAAACATGAAAGCCTTGAAGACTTGTTTTATTTGTTCATATAGCTTACCAACAGTGCTTATTCATGACCCCCTAAGTGTTCAAATTCAATGCCTTCTAGAAGTAACTTCCAGAGTGTGGTTACATTAGAATAAAGTAACTATAGATAATGGATGATGATAAAAGTGTGAAACATTCGATTCTAACCCAGTAGTTTAAAAGTCAAGTGAAATCCCAGGCTCGAAATCTGGCGAGGTTGTGGAGAAACTCTTGGAGTGTTCCATACTTGAACAACACAGATGCTCAATTATAATGGTTTTGACTGAACTAGCCCAGGATAAAGGCTGCAAATTACAACTCTTTTTTTAATCAATTTAAGACACACAAGGCATTTATGTTTTTATTCAAAATTTATGATATGAATAAGTAATATTTTGTTTTTCAATATGCATATATACAAATTGAATTGTTGTTTGTAGACTGTATCGTTTTTTTATTTATTGTTTTCAAATACAGGCCGCTGTAAATTCATTAAAGTCAGTTATTATAGGATGCAGTAAGTCAATTCAAATATTGTCTTTGATTATTCCTAAGCAAAAATGTAGGAGAATGTTTACTTGTATATAGCGTCATCATTAGAATATTTGTACTATTTATCTTATGTTGTCTTACGTGTTAATATTCCTCTGAAAACTAATCATTTTCACAAAAAAGAACCAGACAAATTAGATTTGTAGTTGCAAATTGTTCTCAGTGTTTATTATAGAGTAAATAACTTATTTTAATAAAATATCATCCTGGCCATTATGGATCAAAATAATGTAAAGGAATAAATGAGAGGCAGTTTTCTGGTTTTGTATATAATTTATAATCCTACATTAGCATAGGTGCTCCATGACAAACTAATTGAAAAGAATTTTTTTTTCGTTCAACTTGTGCATTTAAGTATTTAATTGTCATTTATTTTGGGTTCCCATTTTCTTTGAGTTATTCATCATTCATGATCACCGAGTGGTTACCTATATAATCAAGTCAAAACTGGACACTGTACAATTATATGAACCACCGTTCACTTGTAAAAAAAAGATTTCTGTTTTAGTTATCTGCTTCACTAATGGATATTATTCCAGAACCATTTTAATCGAAACGGATGTACTGAAACGAATACTTCAGGAAAATCCATAGTCACATCTATTTGCCATCATGTATTTCACCAAACTTCTGCAACTTAATGAACAAAGTCAAATATCAACGTAATGATTACGGATATCAGTAGTCAATTTTTGAAGAAACACGAAATACACTATTTATCCCCTCACAAACAGGTTAGGAACAACGATTTATTATAGGTATACATTACTAATCATAAAAATATAAAAGTTGGTTTCATTCATGAATTTGTTATTTCAGGGAACACATATTGGTTTTATTTTTATTTTGAAATTAACCGAATCACGAAATTATTCATCACACTCCTCTTAAGTATCTGAACTTCAAAGGTTATGTGTCCTATAGTAGAGAACGACCGTAAAACAACTGGTATTCAAAATGTTTGCTTTTGATGAAACAAATGATTTTATTTTAACTGTCTCGAATTACTTTACTCCCATTCGTTATGATTAACTTGACATTGGATCTGGACGCTAGTTGTCTATTAATGTTGTTAATGTTAGATCCGAACGACAATATCTCAGAATCAAGCATTTTTTCCATTATGTATTTAATTGACGCTAGTATAAGCTTTTATACCATCACTGTAAATTTCATTGTAGTAACAGCTGACGATTTGGGTTTATCTGATACAACCTTTTGAATACACCCTGTTTTACTCTGTTCATCATTATGTAATCTACGCTTTTTCAGCATAATTCGGTTACAGTCAAGTCTCGTTGTTGTGAACATTGTGAATGATGTAATCTAAAAACAAAAATACTATGAAGCATTTTCTTAGAATACGTTTTATAGGTAGTATCATATAAAACATTGAAAACATATCACTACAGAGCTTTCAAAACTAATTCAAAGAATATTATCATTATGACTTTTTGTTGGGATATTGAAGCAATCAGTGTTATGCCATAATTGAAGTACTGGGTGATCATTTTGTCGTAGTACGCGACTCCTCAGCAGTGTGCCCCCACAATCACGCGCGCAAGACTCGAACCTGGGACCTTCGGCTTCGCGCGAACGCCCAATCTTCAGACCACTGAGCTGGGACCCAACGGTGTTGATGTCTAATCTCAACCAATCCACTATATTGCGCGAACAGCTTTTCTATTTTTGTTATCATAACACTTGATGATTTTAGTAAAGTCACTCGGTTTTTAAGAGTTTCTACATTAAACAATTTTTAAAAGTATAATCATTTCTGTTTGTTTGTGTGCTTAATAAAAATAAACATTTTCATTAGTAAATCACTAATGGTTTAAGTCACAAATTAGCAGAATTGTGGTTTCAATTCATTATTTTGTTTTATAATAGGTAGTTTCAAATGAACTATACGTTGGAGTTTTCAGGGACAATACATTTAGCTAAGAAAGCAAGATAAACGAACTTTGACCATTATAAAATGTTTGAAGTGATTTATTTTAATTGGTTTTAATTTACTAGTTTTTCTACACAAAATTTTACACGGCTATAATAAAAATCCAGCCTGAGGACTAACTGTTTAATTCCTTGACTTCTGTTGTCATTAGGCATTTATATTTGATATTCGTTGAAAACAAATTTTAATGTATGGCGAAATATATTTTGTTTTATGGATAGAAATTACTTATAAAATTCATTACATGAATCACCTTTTATTTTCATTTGGGATTCAACTTAAGATTCATTAACTAGAATAATAATGGTAATTCATTCAGTATAAAATAAGGTATTTTGAACAACTGGAAGCAATCACATATAAATTAATACTTATCCCTCATAATTTATGAATTTTAGTGGGTCTAAAGGAGGAGTTGAAATTCATGAGTTTCATCATGTGTAAACATAACCGCAAAAGTAATAGATGGTTTTTTAACATCTGTCGCAACCTATTTGTAATTTAACTTCTGACATTTAATGATTACAGTGCTTCTAATTATTTGCTATTAACCATTTGCTAAATTTTAATTTAAAATACAATTCTTACATGAACTATTTTTTTAAAAAAAAACCTTAAGTATTTTACAAGTTTTGTATTTGAATCCCTTCTTATACTGCTTTCCCTCAATTATGTTCATAAAGAAACTATTGATCTATATAATCTAGAACAAAATGAGAATTATTCAAGCAAATAGATAGTTATTATACTAATTTATTATCAATTTTCTATTTTAACTCATTTCACTGAAAAGAATTACAATGACAAATAGTATCATGAAACAAGATGAATTTTGTATTACAAGTATATTTCTGACTTCTATTATGTAAGTTTTAATAGAATCGAAGGAGAGACAATTTTGTGTAAAGATTACAAATGATTTCTAATAAGTAGAGTACAGTCATTAAAAGTTAAATATAGGGATGTAATTTAAGTATAATTTACATTCAGATAGTACAAAATAAAATTGAACATTATTGTATTATACAGACATATTTCGACGTTTAGGATCTATCTTGTAGTTCAATTTATAAACGTTTCAGAGACACATAGAAAGGATTCATTTTTGTCGTTGTACGTGATAATATCATTTTCAACAGATAGCTAAACATTGATTAACTAAAGTTACCAACTAAACTCTTATCTAGGGTTGTAATATACTCATACAAAAATATTCTTACTGGTAAGTTTATGCTTTTAAGGTTATTCGAAAGGTGGTGTCACGTTCAGTGTATTTTAAGTGAGAATACGTGACTTTATTTGTTTTGTATATTGAACTAATCAGTCTACATTTATAGATATTCAAGTGGAATGCCATAATAGATACAGAAATTAACTGACTAGTTTGTGAATAAATATTCAATTATCTTTATACCATCTATTACAGATACTACACCCTTTTCACTAATGATTGCATCGGGGCCGTTTATAAGTGCTAGTTAGTGTTGCTCCGTAATGTTTTTGTAAGCAACAGAGTCCTAGCTCTTTAAAAATGATATGAAAGTAATGATACTTAAATTATCTGCTTTACTTTAATGATTTTTATTGTTGCATCAAGAGGGTTTCAAAAGCGGTCATTTTAAAGGGCTGTTCTGTAAAGTCTTTATTAAATATCTTGGAAATTACGTTCAGAATTTGTTCATATCTAATGGTGATATTTGAAACATATGCTGATTATTCATGTTATCGATATCAAACACATTTTCCTTAAAAAATTTGCTACACATAATAAGTACTTCTGTTCCGATGCATCAGTAAGTAAACTTATCCTACTGAACACAAATGTTTATATTACCAAGAATATATTTTTATCTAGTTTTCACAACAAAATAACTAACTAATACATGCTACACACTCATGTAACCATTGTACATTGAAAATTTTCTTGAACATTTTAAGACAATAAGTGTAGCATTTAACGCTAACAGTGATATCGTCTATGATTACCTGGTTCATTGTCGTGAGTCGCCTTTGTGTTTATTACTTCTAATTATTTAATAAAATAGTTTACTCTTTTATTACAAATAGAATATAACACACAAATAAGTTACTCGATTCAATGGTGAACAACCGATTTGTGTTTTTTTTTTAATTATTTATCTATGAACATTTAAATGATGTATATTTGAAAATTGTTTAAGTAGAAATGAATAATGCCTCAAGGAGTTAGTTTATAATTCATTTATTTACGCAATCGTTTTTCCTTTTTTCTTTTTTTGTAACGAAATAGTTTTGTTTACTTCACCAAAACACGTTAAATAGTATCGAAAGTGACGAGTTTTGTTTTAGGAACTTTCTTAATACTAATCACAATGTCCGTCATAATAATTGCTTTAGATTCGTTAATATCTTGACTATTTGTTACATATTTAATAAAATAAAACATTATCAATAAATCAATCTTGTTTTTCTTTTTTCCAAATAAGAAAATCAGATGAGTCTTTCTGTTTAAATGAATAAATTAGTTTGACTAAAATTACAAAGTGAATGATGTTTTGAGTTAGGGAAACAAATTTTAAAAAACGTATCATGAACCTTTTCAATAAGCGAAAAAATAAAACACTTACCTTATTACGAATGTAACAATAAAAGCCTGATGTAATGGCAAATTATTCGACGTAAACAATTTTAAAATTGTTTATTATTCTATTTTTATGTTTAAAAAATATTTGTTAATTAATCAAGTTATGTTTTTCAATTTTTAATTGACATCAGCATTGTTCTTGACTTAGATATGAAAATGATGAAAACCATAGTATTAACATATGACTTAATTTTGATGATAAGCTAGGTGTTTTGTTGGATTAAACGGTTTTTTGCTATACACATTGATAATTTCAGAAAGGGATTTTTGTGGATAGTTGAGATCATGAGTAAATTGAAACTAGACCACCATGGAAAACCTGGAAGCACTAGATAATTGTCAAAGACTATGAGAGGAATTAGACTATTGAAAGTGTAAAAGTAATTTTCTTTCTGTTAATAAATTATGAAATAGAAATTTGTTTGTTTAGGTAGCTCAGTTTCTTTAGCATCAGAAGTGAATTTTTAAAATTATTTTGTTAAATAATTTAACTAATATTTACTGCAAAGTATTATATATTGATTATGAGCTGTATCGTAACTTGATAAAATATCGGCAATGACTGGGACCCCTTCTGATACTAATCAACATATGCTCACTAGTGACTGGCTTCGAGAGGTATATTCTGGAGTTCTAGTGAGAAGCAGTTACCAGTGGAGTTCAACCGGGTCTGTTGTGAGATAGTAACTCACTGAAGGCAGTGGTGGATGTGTCGCTCAATTTTATGGATTAGTTGAAGTTAGACATTAACATCGTTGGATGCCAGCTCAGTGGACTAGATGTTAACTGTTCGCGTGCGAGACCGATAGGTCCTGGGTTGGAATCTTTCGGGGTGAGATCATGGACGCTCACTGCTGAGGAGTCCCACAATAGGACGAAACGTCCTTCTAATGCTTCCAGGTTTTCCATGGTTGTCTAGCTTCAATTGACTCATGATTTCAACTATTAAAATTACTATAATACCCACTAAACTTCTTTTGATATGGATTCAGTTTAAAATAGTAAGATAAAAACTGAGTACAAATTACATTTTTTATGACATCTACCAATTTAACTTGCACTGTAATAACAATTGAATTGGTAGATACGAAAATAGTTATTTATCTTTTAGTTTGGGTGTCACCATCATATGTATAGAAAGCATTAGTTGTAGTTTTCCTTTGATAAATATTTGCCGCATAGTTTTGCATAACATAATAATTACTATTTCTCTGGATGTATAATTTGTATGTGCTAGACGTCTAAATAACTATATTTTTATTTGATGAATAAAAGAGAATTCAGCGAAGAAAATTTTGTTTTCGACGAAATCATTTACTTAAGCTGTACATTCGTATTTTTATTTATATGGAAAATATATATCTATAGATGGATAGAAACGATTGCATCATAAATTGATTCAGCACTCTTATTACCAGATGTGGTTACGCGATAATCAAGGGGTAAGAAAAGTATATAAGGATGAAAATAATTTACAGGTCAAGTAATACTCCAATTGACGGATATGAAGAAAAATGACAAACATAAAGGTCATGACAATAATAACTGAATAATAATCACCAATAAAAGGAATTAAGGCCAAGGAAGTATGAGACGTTGGACGAATCGTTTTTGCACTCAAAGTTCAGGCTTGAGTTCGTGGATTGCCAATGCCTCAGTAATGCATAAGATTTTGATTAAACTTTTCTTCGATCCAATTCCTTTGGCTATGTAGATACCCCCTGATTATTGCGTAACCTTATTTGGTAATAACAGTCTCGAATCAATTTATGATGTGATCTCTTCTATCTTTCTATAGACATATATTTTCCATATAACTATAAATACAAACGTACTGCTTAAGTAAATGATCTCGTCGAAAACAAAATTTTCCCTGATTTCTGTTTATTTTTATTCAATGACACAATGGGTTATTTTATTTGATGATTGGACCTATATTTGTTCATATGTAAATGTAAGTGGTTCATTGATAAATATTCATAGTTAGTTAAGAGAAAATAGGTGCAAGGCAGTTAATAGGATCAAGGTGCCATATGCGTTTGATAAGCCTGATATCTGTCCAGAGAGAAATACATTTGTATATTTGTATAGATCAAAGGGCTTGCTACAGTATTACGCGAAACATTTTTCTCTTCCACAACTGTATCCGGAGAGTTTGACATAGTTATCTGATAACAAATATTCATCAACATGTTTCTTTCATATCCAAAAAGAACAAAATTAAGGGGGTTTATGTATTTCTCTACTCAAATACGTTTCTTGCATAGGTTTACTTTTAGCGACACATCTATTTTCTTTGTAATTAGAACATCTGGTACATTTTTTCGACCTCTTATTTCGTCCTTCCATGTGGACTTTAAAGTTGGGTACAGTTCTATAGATATCTCGAGAATCTCTAAATAGCCAGGATAATCTTTGCAAAGGATGTATGTACCATCCATATGTTGGCATTAAAATGTAAGGTTATTACTAATTTGTACAAGTACTTAGTTTCCTAGTTTAGATTAAAAAGTGTGTGATAATATGGAACTCATTGGTGAACCCACTGTGGCTCCATCCACCTGCCCATAGATTTGGCCACGGAACATGAATTTTACATTTATAGTGCACTTTAGTAACAATTAGTCCATAATGTTAACTGTCATTAGAATTTTTACTTTATTTTTCATAATTTGTTCACACATATAGATCTGACGATTTCTAAGAGTGGTAGGTTTGTGAATGATGATGCTACTTATAAAAGTGTTATTGTTTGTTCTGAAGTATTTGAATGTTTGATCTTGTTTAGAAATTATTATACATCCCTAATACGCTGCTTATGGAGCGATTTTCGGATTAGTCCAAAAATGATCTCATTGGAACACTTGGTTTTTATATCTTCATTACTCCATTTGACCTTGACAGATGAATTCTCATCGGCTCAATCGTTTTGTATACGTATGCGAAAATGATCTACTGATCTCTAAGCTTCTTTAAAAATCCAACTGGATCATTCTCTATTTCATTACTGTAATATTTCCCGTCAGTTAGTTTCTGGAATTTTAATTCGTCGTTTGAAATATTACCCATTCTATTAATGTGGTCATGTTTGTCAAGAAGAACAACTCCTAACCCTTCATTCGGATTCGTAATAAACAAACTTTTGTCTTTAGCAATTTTGTTGATTTTTACCGTGTGCGTTTACTCCAAAATCCCTCCGTTATATATAGGAACAATCAAATAGATTTGATTTGATTGGTTTCAGTTCTTGACCGGAAGTCAGGACCGTAATTTAAAAGATGTCATCTTAAATTTGTTTGTCCCTTCGGAACAATAATGTCGATTTACAATTGTAAAATTTACTGAAGACGAAGATGAAAAATCAATTATTGATTACTTTTAAATTATTGGATAAATTGTAAAACATTTTAATTATCTCCAACAATCAATCACCCGATGTTATATGAAATTAAATTAGTGAATAAAAAATATAATTGTAGGGGATTTTATCATCTGACTTTTTCTAAATTTTCTATAGGTCTCCCTTTTGAACTTCAAACTGTTTTGAATAAATCGTATCCATGGAGATTGGGAACAGTGTTTTGTCGGTTCAGAATCTTTTTAACTGAATTATGTCCGTTAGTAAGTATACTGATCTTAACAATATTCAGCGTTGAACGATATTTATCAATATGTCATCCGTTTAGAAGAATTTTACGATTTTCACAGTATGATACTGGACATCCGTGTAATCGTACTTCATATATGCATAATGTCAATAGTAAAGCATCTCACAGTAGTGAAAGAATATCAAAAGTAATGAATTCACAGATGAGAAACAGTACACAAATACATTGTTCAAATGGTCAGCCACATTATAAACGCGGCCATACACCGTATATGGTGCAAATCAATGCTCTTAAATCATGCTTTCTATTAATTTTCTGTGTTTGGATTATTGGCAGTTGTTGTGCTGTAGTAATCGCTGGATTATCAAAAGTATTTTATGCTGTCAATTTACCTACTATTGGCACATTTATAAATAATACGTGTACTAATCATTATCACACTGCAGTGATTCAATTTTATTTGACATCTGACTGTTTATTAAACAGTGAGATGTGGACACCAGGTGAAGCTTTACCCGACTCAGCAGTATGTGCACCGTCTAATGTGAGTTTTAAAAAAATGTTGTCTAGAAAATGGTTTTTCTGAACTTTATTATATAACATACACAATAATGAAGCCAATACTATAATCTAGGAGTTATTGTACAATCACTTAAAAATGTATATTTCATTTGTAAATGAACACTTCTGTCGATTTGGTTTTTAATGTGAATATAAAATAGTGTCGAAGAACATAGTTTCATTTCATGAACGGATAAACTTACTAGGCTATCATGGTAACGGATGATTATATATCTATCTGAACTCATAATTAGAACTGGAACGAATGATAACTCAATAATTAGCTTCGTTAATATAAAAATGGTTTATATTTGCGAAAAACAATTTAATTTTCTCAATTATTCTCGTAGTAAGTCAAAATTAATCAGACTATTGAACATATGTTATGCTTTAAAGCTAAAGATACTTTCATATCTGGAATAACTTCACAAAGATAGTTAGGTATACAAACATAATCAGAGTCAATTATTAATTAAAATACCATTTCAGAATAGCCACTATTGAAATAACTATGTGAAAACATCATAATTTATTTGCCGATTGAACTGAAATATGATACGTCAAGAAAATAGTGATCAACAGTCACATCATCTTAGAATACATTTATTAGGCAGTGTTATAGAAAACGTGTCTGAATGATTACTATTTAAAATAGAATTTATTTATTACAGATTCTGTATCACATAAAACATTTATTTAGCTTATGGTAGTTTCTAGAAATGAGTTATTGAATCCAAATGTTTAGAAAAATCAGTACTTTCTGTTTGAACTATATCTCTTCGTCTACAGCTATCTATTTATAGACTGAGTTAATTAATTAATAGTAGTTAATGTTGTGTTGAATAGTTCATATTAATCAATTGAAATTTTTCTATGACGTTAGAATTCAGTAACAATGTAAGTGGTTGCATCATGTTATATATTATTAGAAGTTGACTGGTAATATACATTTTTAAAACCAGGTTTTCTTGCTAGTTCGCGTCAATTAGCAAAACTTATTTGTAATCTTGACAGAAATGATGCTTTAAAAAGTGAATTACATGAAAAAGTGTAGAGTGCGCTGTTTAGGAGATAATCGCAAAAAGTATTTTATTTTTATTCTGATTTTTCTTAAAAATTTTTCTCCTATGTTTTCGATATTATTTAAAGTACATATATAAGCAGATTTTCTGAAAATTTCAGCCGTTGATGCAGATAAACAAAGCATACTTGAACAACGTTTGATCATTAGATTAATCCACTTCAATCACATTTCAATATAACCACATCTATAGAAGAACAAATAAGTTTGTTTGTATTTAATTTAGTTCAATCTTTTCAACAAACATAGTTGATTTATACCAAAATACTTCAAAGTGTTCATAATGCTCATCAAACTTCTCTTGATAAAACACCAACCTGATATCTTTTGTTTTAATATTCATGAATTTATATCGTAATTTATTAAAGAAAAAAAAAAACAAAAACATATGTGCATTACTTTTATATGATACATATTTCCTCTAGGTTAATACCTAAAGGATGAACTTTCACTAATTTTTAATAGTGAAATGTGGTATTTTTTTAAAACAAGTTTTCAAGGGCAATCAAATTGCTTAATAAACTTGTAAGGTGAAACTTTATTTTTTTGGAAAAAATTTCAAATAAAAAAAAATTGTATGGAAAGGTTAGTAACCTTATTAAGTTATTTAATAAATGAATTGTGATTGTGATAAAAAATTTTTTTTTAATAAAATCAAAAAAGATCAAATCTGAATGATGTCAAATAATTAGAAAAGATGAAAACTAAATTAATCAGTTACTAGACTCCATTACTTAATTAAAAAAATGAAGTTGAATGGTTAAAGAGTAAGATTTAGCCAATTGGTTATATATTAATTAATAATGAAAAAAAGAAGAAATAATTCAGTAAATGAGACGATAGAAGAATCGAATTATTTATCTAAATTTAAAGTGTTGTAAATCATTGTAGTGAATTTTGACCCATTTTATAAAATAGTTGGATGAAAATGAATTTGGTAATGATACTTCTGTCTTATGTAGAATTCTCTGTTTGAGGTAATTAAAACTATATTTACTGTCATTTTGCTTAAACAAAAAATAATTTTTATTTCGAAATAACCTCTAAATTTTATTATGGTTAGCTTTAAATAAGATTAATATATTTTTAGTAGTTAAATTCATGAGTTAATTGAAGCTAGATTACCATGGAAGACCTGAAGGCACTGGACGGCGGAGCAACTTTGTGGATTGGTTGAAGTTAAACATTAACATCGTTGGGTGCCAGCTGATTCAGTGGTCTAAAATTTGAGCGTTTGCGCACGGGACCTATAGGTCCTAGGTTTGAATCATACGAGGCAGGATTGTGGATATGCACTGCTGAGAAGCCTCACAATGGGACGGAACGGCCTTCCAATGCTTCCAGGTTTTTCCTGGTGGTCTAGCTTCAATTTACTCGTGAATTCAACTGTCGAATTACTAAAATATCCACAAAACCCGTCTCTGATTAATATATAGCAGCAGTTTGAGCGTGCCAGATATTCATAGAGTTATGTTGTCAACTAAAATTTCTCTGTTAGGTTTCAAAAATATCAAACTTTGTTTTAGATTGTGTTAATCTCTCATTACAATGAAATTTTCGTCTGCTTATTTTATAATTATGAAACAATATTGAAACAAGACAAATGATTGTAAGGTAAATGTACTCACTAAAGAAAAGGTTAAAATGACCGGAAACGGGATGCTGTTGTGAATAGTCTCAAGAATATGGAAACTGTTACTATACACAACACTAAAACAATCAATATACAATTTTTGGCCAGTAATAAAAGGTCAAACGTTTGAACAAGATGTGTCAAGAATATTTATACCTTCATAAATTCATCGTAGTCAGAAAATAGATCGGCCCTTAACTCCTATCCAGAAAAACTCTGAAGAAGTGGCCTACATTAAGTCACAAAACATCAGAAATACAATTTTTCGATTTATTGGGGCATAACAAAAACATATTTATTATAAATCGTCAAAGTATATTTGACGACAAAATAAAGACAAATCATCACACATTAAGATTAATAGATTTGATTTTTCAAGGTCTTGAGTGTGATTTAGCAGTTAACGTCAAGTTCGGTACCTTGAAATCAACTTGCAAAGTTGGTCACCACAAATGCTCATCAAAAACGTTTCAAATTCACACATCTTGTTGAGCCAGTAACTTTAAAAGCCTAGCAAAGCCACTTTTAATATTAGAGATACTGACATCCTTCTGGAGTATGCCAATGAATATTCCCATCTAATTTGGTTATCTGACATGAAACCATTATGTGTATCTAACTAATTATGTAACATGCAAGCGTTTTTCATAGAATATTTGTCTTTGTTTGGCTTGTAGTTAACATAATGAACTGGTTGTTTTATTAAACTCAGTCATTGAAGTGTACTATAAGAGGAAAGTACAGGGTCCGAAATTCCTTTACTGTTGACGAAACGGAGATAAGATAGTTTGAGATTTTCGATTATCATCATTTTAGCGATGACACAAGACATATTTTAACATATTTTATCAAACGCAATAACTTTCAGTCAATAGAAATGTCAGTAAAAGATTGTTGAAATTGTTGAATTTCATTGAAACCATGAACCAGACTACCATTGCAAACCTTAAAACACTGGACGGCCATTTCGCCATAGTATGAGACTCCTCAACAGTGAGCATCCACGATCCAGCACTCATAAATCGAATTCACTACCTTCAGTTTCGCGCGAACTTTTTATCTCTAAACTGCTGAGCTTGTGTCTAATGATGTTAAAAATGCTTTTACGAACTGATCGTTTAGCAATAGAGTACAGTATCAGCAAAAGCCGCGCTTGCCATAAAAACATTCAAACCTCATTGAGATTCCGTATTTACACATCAGTCAATGCAAACGGTTGTAATCTTTTCAAGATATAAATCGCTTACAAAATGTGAATGACATTTTAAGCATCAAAACTCAATTAAAATAGCCACTTTTCCTTGATATAAATTCATGATGAATTTGTGCATTACTATCATCTGATCAAACATTTCAAGCTATATTTTACATTAAAAAAAGTGTTTCACCAAAGCAAAATTTCTTTCTGACGATTTTATTTTCAAAATATGTACAATCGTATTGTATGAAATAAATAATATGATGATAGGTTTGTGTTAGTAAGTACGTTTATCACTGACATTGGCTCACTGTATTTCATACTAGTGGATAAAACGTATAAAATCAATCGTTATGCTAACTTGAAAGCAAAAGGACTATGTGGCAATGAAGATCGTATGGACAAATGAGGAGTGAAAAACTATCTTTGGTCTTTTAAGCAGATAAATAAAGGTTATTGTAAGTAGTGAGAGTAGGATCTGACCGATGGCTGTAAGATAATACTGGCTAGAGAATGAACGAAAATCAAGAATTTTAGTTGCTATACTTTGTTTAACTAGAGAAGATAAGATTACATTTAATTTAAAGATGGAAAAGAACAAAAAATAAACAAGATGAGAAGAAATAACCAAAATATAAAGGTAGATAGAGCCCTGGAGGTGAAAATTACTTATTTCTACGTAGATCTGTCATAAGACTTTATATATCTAACGTTATGTAATTTTTTTTAAGCATCTCCACTTGAAGGTAGCCAGAGTGTTTTATAGGGACTTTTTTATCTACATCTCTGAACAGATATCTTTACTAATAATGAGAAAACAGATCACACTGATTTTTCATAAACCTTTTTTTATTTGTAATTCGGTTACTTATTTATTATTTTTGACGAGTAACCATTTTAAACTTCTATTGCACTTACTATTATTCTTTATAACCATTGTGCTAAAATATTTCCGTTTTAAATTGTTAATTAAATTTTATCATATTTTACATACCAGGATTCAAAATGGGCTGCATATCTCAGTATTCCAGTCGTTTTACAATTATGGACATTTTTATTCTTTTTTACTCCAATGGTTATTATGTCTGTTTTGTATGGATTAATGGCGATGCAATTAAGTCATTCAAATCTTGGTCTTCGTGCACAGAGTAAGTCCAAACACGGAAAGGCTCAATCATCTTCATGCAGCATATCCAAAACTCGTTCATCAGGAAATTGTCGAAGAGGTATTGTTAGAATGCTAGGTAAATCTTTCAGAAATTACATATGTAGTATCATTTTAGACTAAGAAGTCATAAGACAACTCTAGAGTTATGGATTTTGTTGATAATTATTATACTAGGAAATATTTTTGATTAAAGCACAAAAGTTTTGTTCAGTTGATCAATCTGTAAGTTGCTGAAGCTTAAATTTATGCATCACAGTTAGTTCTCAAAGAACTAATGAAGTAGCTGGAAAGGCACCTAGGGGACATAAATGTCTAATTCTTTAAATAAAGTAAAATGAACCAGTAAAACAAAGGCACGCTTTATAAATAGGAGGACACTATGAGAAAATGGTAAGGTTATCATAAAGACATACATTTGCATAAAATTAAATATTTCTTACATTCCCTGAAATATTTATAGTTTTTCGCTTATCTTTCTAATATTCACCTGATATATCACTTACGGCCAATTTAAAAAATTGTAAATATTAAGCAGTGGGTAAGGCTAAGATTATTGGCCAGTTAAAAATTGTTTGTAGGAAATGAGTTTGAGAGAACGAATGGAACTATCCAGTGGAACTTCAATAAATGATTATTTTATTATTCTTGGTCTTCAAAAACACTCGTTAACACAGGTTTATTGTTTATCATCAATCATGATACACGGATATCCATGAAATTCATGCACCTGATTTTCTAGTCTGTATATGTTGGATCGTGTAAATGTCAAACACTCTTGCTGTAGATGAATAAGGATACTGGTCGTGCTAAGATAAAGCAAAGATAGATGTACTTGTGACTGATGATTATATCATATGTAGATGTAACATAATGTTTTGTAGGTGAAATCAGAAATATCAGCTTCTGAAAGATATTTCTTGAAATAACTTACTATGTATGTATCCAGACAGTTCTGAACATAGTAGCCAGTATGATTAAAGAGTTAATTTGAACTTCATGATGGCCACTAGGGGACATTTATAACTAAAAATAAGCACAGATTTGTCTGCCGCATATGGTCTAGATAATTTCCATACCTACATTTTTCCGTCTTTATTATTGTTTTGAACTCTATGAAATTTATTCGGCTTCTAAGGCTCATAACTGACAGTTTGGTTGGATGTTTCATAGACTTATGGCTAACAATTGAATAATCACTAAATGTGACCATTTTCATATATGTTAAGTCCTTCTTATTGCTGATGGAATTCTGCCAAATAAATTGCACTATATCCAATGTATTGAGATCTTATATGGTTGAAAGTGGTTGACTGGAAACCCTGAACCTAGGTTCCATGCTATTTGATACTTGTCAGTAAGACGGGCATGTGAAAGGAAAGTAAATCACGATCTGAAAAGTTTAACTATAGTGTCTCGAAACATCAAGTTGGATAACGATGGATCGAATCCTCCAGAGAGCACTAGTTACCTCAATAGTATAGGTGTGTCTTGCTAATGATCGTCAAAACGCTTAGAACCTAGGTCAACTGTTTCCTATCGGCTACCTTCAACCGCCTGATATATCAACATAGTGCATTTTAAATCAATTACGTTAGTGGCCACATTTCGAATCGACCAACGGAACTCAATCACTAATCTCATACAAGAATCAAGCTAAAACAGGTGTACCAATGACGAGTGATTTCTATGAATTAAGTTGGAAAGTCTCAGTCAAACAGTCCTTAGTTTTAACATATTAGTGATTTGGAGTATATGGTTATGTCATCAAAAACTAGTGCAAAACTAATTAGTAGCATCATATTTATAGTAAACTGTTTGATGTTAGAGGTGTTGCTGGAGGTGTTCTCTAAATTCAGACAACACAGAACTAACATCCACAACCTGAAACATAAATGTTCATCATCTCAAAATTGTTAGATGTTCGTCTACAAAAATGTTGGATGTTTTCAATTTCTGTACCTCTGTTACGCATACATTTGATAGAAATTAAGTTTGTCGGATTCTTATTACACAGATTACTGACCGTATAGCAACCTTGATAAAGTGAGTGGTACTTATGTATGTTTTCAGATATGAGTGCGCCCTTTAGTGCAGGTGAAGGTAGTATGGTTATTATTTTGAGGCGAAAAATTACTAACAGTTTTATTGCGTCGTTCATAAATATTTTATTGATGTTATTTGCGTATTGTCCTAATTATAGGCTTTTATATAACTCATTTACTTTTGATATCAGTTTAACCATTCATAAATTTCCACAGTTGAAATCACGAGTTAATCTAAGCTAGACTACAACTGAAAATCTGGAACCACTGGATGACCGTTTTTTCTAGTATGGGGCTCCTCAGCAGTGTGCATCCACGGTCCCATGTGCAGGGCTCGAACCCAGAATCTCCGTTGGTGGGCACTTCTGGGGAGTCCCATAATAGGATAAAGTGATGGTCCAGTGCTTCCAAGTTTTCAGTAGTGGTCTATCTCACATCCACTCGTGATTTCAACTGCAAAAATACTACAATCACCACAGATCCCTCATACATTTATAAGTGATCGTTAATTAATTATGTGCTTATTGCTTAGCTTTTAGTGCACTTAAGAGAGTTATGTAAAATTAAGATTTGTAGTGCCTTATAGTCGGGTAATTAGTGTATATAATGTTGTGTTTTTTCGGGTTTATTCAGGAAAAGGAATATCAGCTTACTGTCTTTGTTATTTGATTGGCTATTAAAGTTGTAAGGAATTGGAGTGGACAAGTAGAAATAAGGACTTTTTGTCATTTCTTAAGGGCAATTATGTATTGGTTAAAGTGAAAGTCACCGGTCAAACAGGTGTTAGCGAACTTAAAGTTAGTGAACTCTATTATCTCACGATACAATCAACTGGACTTATAAATTATTAAAGGTCATAACAGTATCATATTTGCTAATGAACCTGGAGGTATCCCTTACATTAAAATGAGAATCTTTTTATTAGATTAGCAAGAATAATGATCATGGGAATTTCTCAAGCTTCTACAAACATTTTTGTTTTCAGTGGCTGTAGTGGTAGCTTTTTTCATTTGTTGGGCCCCATTTCATCTACAACGTGTTCTTACTTCTGCGAATGTCCAAATGACGTGGTTTTTGATTGATTTCCTCTTCTATGTGTCCGGTAAGTAAAACATTTATTTACATGGTAAGATCATAAATCTTTTTCACCTTTTGTAAACATTTATTATTTATTATATGTGATTAGTTTTAGACTTCTGTCTGATTTGCAACAGCAGCTATAAATTAGACCTTAAATAAGCATAAACTGATGAATGTACATTATTTAGTGAACGACTGGAGACAGCGAAGTACTTGATGGTGATCAAATGTATTAGATTCAGAGATCCAACATTTGTTCTTTTTAATTGTGATGACACATTGGTGAAATATATATATATATATATATATATATATATATATATATATATATTCGTTTCTTATAAAACTTAGCCACCAACGCTACATTTTCTTTAGAAATGCAAGTGGTTTCCTGGCCGACCACATGGACTTATTATTTGACTGGCTTCTGGCTGACACAAGGTATCAATAATTGTTTATTGACATACTTCTTATCCAGAAAAGTCAATTTCGTGGTAATTATCGTTTTTCTAAAATTTAGATATTTTAAGTTCAAAAAATTTGGATAACAGCGTTACTGTATAAGCAAATAAATAATTTAACGATTTGAAAGCAAGTTATTTGAACTGAAAATCAGTGGAGTTCTTTATGCGTCTAACATCAACTTACACAGTAAAATATTTCAATTTCGTTTTCATTAATAATCATACTTAGGTATTAGTAAATTAATCACATTTTTCTTATCTTTTTAGGATTTCTTTATTATATGAGCGCAACAGTAAATCCGATTTTGTATAGTTTGATGTCTGCTAGATTTCGACGTGCATTTATATCTACATTTAGAATAAAACAGACAAGAGCAGAAGATGTGTCGTATATTCATCCGATAGTTTCAGTAAGGATTGTTAAAATTAATAAACGTGAACAAAATATTTGTTCATTGAAGGATGATAAACAATCTACAATCCGATGAGCTTCTCTGTTGAAACAGTGTAACACTGATGAAACAAGAATATAAAAATTATAGAATAAAAGTATTGTATATGTAGAACAATACCATCAAGTTTTGTAAACTGTCTTACATACTTCTCTCACTGGGTTCAATAAAATATGTTACTGATTTACTTATTTTTGAAAATGTTACTCATCCAACTTCTATACCGTGTAATAATTTATACTGTCCTATTTAGTTCTTATGATTATATGAAATGCAAAACAAAACATCGGTTGATATTATGACAGATATTATTTGCTTATAAAATATAGATAAGTCGAATTTTATAGAAAATTACTCAGTAAATATTAACGATAAATGTCTTGAATGGTATAGATGACGATTTCTTAAAACCCAAACTTAGGATAAGGCTGTGATTACTGGTAGTAATACTACAATCAAGATAGTATTCATTCACAAATCATCACTATACAGGTAGTATTCAGTGTATCTGAATGTAGTACCTTCATAGTTTTTCTACATATCTAGAAATTTTGGAAGCATCTAAAACAGAATACGATCTTAGTATTTTCTACAGTCAATAGCTACTTAGAAGTAAAAAAGTAGTATTAGGACAAGAGTACAGACATTCGACACGTGCTTTATTTACTTGCGCAATAACGATGCAAAATATTGAAGATGATGGCCTTTAATGTAAACGAAGTATACCTGTAAAAATGTACAAAAACCTAATTAATATCTTTAAAACTATTTATAAAATTCCATTATATTTGGACATCACCATTATAGTATAATATTAATTAAGACGTTTTCGATACTCTAGGTGGATTTCCCGTAAGGTGTATAAACTGAAACGAAGTAGTTTCAGATAATGGACTTGGGTAAAAGAGTACTAGGGAAGAGCTTGTTTATTTTTCAAAAATATATTCAATTTTATCCAAAACTTCTAACAACTGTTACACTATAAAATAAATACATTTTAATTTAATTATTTTGTGCACATTTTAAGACGTTGGTAGTTAAGATGATTTAGTATAAAATGACATTTTTGTTCTGTGAAACCTTTTTTGTTATTTCTAGTAAGAATTGTTCACGGTAACCTACTGAACTGGTTGATTTATTCCGCACGATTCAAAAGATGATATTTTCTATGATTAGGAAATGGGTTATGTATGCAAAAATATGTTGTTGAGGTAAAACTTAACATAAAACGTGAACTATTTTCTACTTTTAGTTCTATCTTAATTATTTAGAAATCACTAGTCAGAAGCCAAACCAGTAATTAGAAGAAACAAAAATTCGGCTATTTATGAACACAACAAAAAATCTGGTGACGATGTTGAATGGTATGACGAGTGTAAAACAAAATGTCACTTCTAAGTGATGTAAAGATATGTTTAAAATCACTAAGTTTGTAGCTTTTGCAACCCTATGTGTGTTATCACCAAGCATAAGTAAGGAAATGAGGCAACGAATTTAAAATAGAGTGATAGTAAAATTAGCACAAGAACAAAAGCTTTTCTTTACGAGTTCTAGTCGTTATGCGATCGTATCTAAGTGGTATCAAAACAGCTCTACGGGAAATGGACCAATCTATTTATTCCTCATAGACTACTTCTATTAAATTTTGTTTTGAACCAGGACTTTCCATTTTACTTTATTCCATTTTATACTCAGATGTTTCATCTCATTGTTTTCAATATTCAGCTTTCCATTGTTGACCTTGACATTTCTTGATAAGCTAGAGTAGCAATGTTCGGCACTAAATACGCACTAGTATTGGAATTTTCAGCGGTTTTTGTCTAGTTTGAATGTGCTTTGGGTACCAGGTGAGGTTGCGGAGTAGCATGTATGAAGAAAGACTGGAAAGAGAAAGATAAGGGAAAACTTGAATTTATGATCCGATACGCGTACAGAACGCATTTACAATTATCAAGGACAGCAACAGCACAAACTTTAGATTGAGACATTCTGGTAATTGGAACTTTGATGTAGGGTATGGTTTTAAATCATCTTCAGTTGTAATTCAGATTAAGCGGGCAATATTGTGAGGAGCAATTATCAGTTCACACAAGTGTTATGTTCTCTACGACTTCTTTTGATATTCTGTTGTCATAGAATGTTTGGCACTTCTGTGTTGCGTCAGGACCAAGTCCAAAGTTTTCTTTCCTGAGCAGAATCCATAGATCCGATGCGCATGTACATGAAATCTTCTAACTATTCGGGAAGTCGAAATATCTTTCAACACAGCAGCAGAAATAAAAAACAAAGTGGCTATGCATGGTGTAAGTAAAACCTGTTTATAACAACCTTATTGGAAAAGAATAATCTCAGAAATGTTGCTGCATTCTCACCGTGAAGGAAAATAGTACTACAGACACAAGGGGTTGTGTTGATATCCTCTCAAGAAGAAGGATAAGAGACACGATTCCATGACCGTCAGTGCATCTATCAAGGCTAAAAAAATAAGGAATACAACGAATGTTTATTGATGTTACCCATCCATCAACGATAGCAGCGAGGATGATCATGGTCAGTTTTATAAGAAGCTGCAGTTAGCTCCATAGAAATGTTTGTTAGGTCCATTTTGAATGTTTTGTTTGTGAAAATCTCTGCATGTGTACACTTGCAGTTCGTTTCTATTGATTCCCTTAGTTGTAAATGTTGTTAGTCTTTACGATAACATTTGACTTGTTAACATTTGTATTTTATTATAGTTTTTATTCTTCTTACGCCTTCACTAAGTTTTCGTGTTTCTTACTGAACTGCATTTATGTTGTTTAACTTGATACTTAGTCCTGGCGGCCGCCATATTGGTTCATTCTTCCTTTTGATTGTATTGACTGGAATTGTGAATTTTTGATTGTGAATTGAGGCACTCTTCCAGAATTGGAAACACTTTGTGTTATCAAGCAACCAAATATTATCTTTTGAATGAATCTGTGCGTGATCTATCCAGACAGGATAGACTAACATTTATTTGATCGATTGAACAATGATTGGTTCAATAGCTGGGTGGTCATATTTGTTTAAGTAACAATGTACATTTAAATTTATAATGAATTTCAGGACCGCTATTTTACCAAATTAATTTTTTTTGGTTTCGACCGGGCAAGGGCGCGTATCTAACCCACCAAGACAGCTGTTCTTCAGTCCAAAATTTGGTTTTGATCTTACAATGTTCAGCAAATGAATTGACCACCCCGATGGAAATCTGAGCTCCGAGGTTAAGATGATCGTTAATGGGAATAAATGTATCATAAGGAGATATGGAAGAAAACTAGAACGTCTAGAGGCTGGTACATTTGTGATTTCGACATGATTTCAAGCGTCAGCAGTTTGTCCTACAAACCTACACGGGTTTCAACGGGCTACAGTAAAGGAAATTTTTCGGTCGATTCTGCATAAATGGAAACTCTAACACAAGTTAGCGTGCTAAACAACAAAAGAAACAGTTAATACAATATAGTCCAATACCTGATAATCAATAAAAACATTCCTAACAAGATGGGATCATATATCTATCTGCAGGGATTGGAGCTTAGTCAAACACGACTTTATGGTCAATAGTCCGGCAACATGCAACAGAAAAATTAGACAACAAAAGACGATTCTCTAATCAAACCCACATAATAAAAGCACAGACGATGGAGATTGAAGAACATAAAGTGTGGTTAACAGAAATCTGAACAAAGGTTAAAATACACGACTGGAAGAAATAAAAAAATGACAGTACTGTCCAACAAAAACGCTGTAAAGGGATTTTCGGTGTTTTCTTTCCCTTACAGGTTAGTTGAATGTATAGCGACTAACAGTGACAATGATAAGAAGCAATGTGACATTATTTCAAGCCGTGTTGAGTTCTTCAGATAAGCTTCGTTACGTTTGAGGTTAGAGTTTAAGGGGAATTCTAAATAAATTTGCCAGACCCGAATTCCGCGTACATGAACCGAAAAGAAAGTTAGCACGACATACGTGTTATAAGAAAGTCGAGTCACGGGTTATCGTGTCAGAAAACAGTAAATGTACACTGTATGGCAAACATTAGTAAAAATGGCAACCACCAGTGCGTATAGAAGGATCAAAACACATGGTCATTATGTTGAGGAGTGATGCAGCAGGTGCAGCATTTGGCGTTGAGTATCATGTTGCGTATGATATTACGACAAAGTATCTAAATAAAGCCAGAACAAATATTGATGCAGAATAATATGAATTCATTATATTTCGTGGTATCTCGTAAGCTGCCTACAGTCAAATATGTATCAGAATTTTACATTAAGATAAGAAATAGTATGGAACAATTGAAATAGATGGATGTAAAAGATTGGGATGACAAAGGCTATCGAAGATGTTAGGATCAAGGAAACATTAGGAATCAGTGATGTGATAGTTAAGTGGAGTTCAGAGACAGATATTTGTTTTGGCTTTATTTAAATTCATAAGGTTAACTTGTTGCGTGGTGTCGAGTTGAGCTTGACTATGAACACCGCTACAAGACTACTTGCCAATAGACCAATAAAATCCCGGTAGGCCAAAATATCAGAAGGCAGATGATTGTAGTAGTCGTATATATTTGTTGGCAATCTCGTGGTATCGAAAGAATACCGAGATCGTGCCAAAGGAGTACAGTTGCGATCGGCAAGATAAGATACGTGCGTAGTCCAAAAACCGCGTAAAAGCAATGGAATACAATGGAAGCCCAAAATGGCTGTTATTAGCACAGTTAAACAAACGAGCACAGTAAAACAGTCACTGGTACAATTGGTTATAATAATAATTGTTTTCATCGAACCAATCGTGTTCTGTTGACAAAAGTAGGTCACTACAGGAGCCCCCCGCTAGAAAGGGTTTACACTTTCGATAGTTAGCGGTTTGATTCGTGGGACTGATCGGCAGAATTGCGGTTGTAGGACGGAGGAAATTGGCGGAACAGGAAGTCATCATTGATCCT